TTCAACCCACTTAAGCATGTTAGAAAACCAACCCGGTCCAAATGATCAGTTAATTCCTAGCAGATAAAGACAGCAAAACTCTCAACGGAAAAGATAATCTGCTCCATGAAGAACCTTCGCATTGTGATGCCACCCTTCAATGGATGTGGAATAAAATCAACCAAAGTAGTTGAAAATAAGAAAATCATACAAGAAAGCTTCAAAGCTCGTTTAAGAGCTTAAGGAAGTCCCATTTTGAAGCTGAAGTAAGGAGGACGTTACTCATGCTAGCAATTGGAATAAGTTGTTATGATTACTGAGAAGAAAAGGGAATAAATCAAAATTTGCATACACCAAATAAGACTCCAAAATATATGGGAAGCGTTACAGTTTTAGACCAAACCATTAATATGTAGAGCTTGATAGGGCAAACTCATTAAGGAAATAGTGAAAAAGACCCTAGTATACTGCTTGGAAAATGGAGAACTTATCGGTGTGGATGCAGAGCATAGTGGTGGTTGCTCGAACATAGAACAAACTAGAAAATCAAACAACAAAGCCCCATACTATGGGTAGAGCAGGTAGAGATCAAAATAATATTCAGATCAGGCAAGAAAAAGTACGACTTTAAAAGCAAAGAAAGAAAGATGCCGACAGCATCGATGGCTTATTAAACATATTTCACTTCAATACAATGGAATTAATGATGACCAATATTGACCTCCCATCAGAACAAGTCTGAAAGTTTGATTCACATCCACGAACATCCCATTGCCCTCCCTTTTAGAACCCAAATATATCTAGGTCGCATGATAATAACATAGTTATCAATGATGCATCTGCAGCAACCCATTAACCTGTCACTTCCTTGAAGCTTTTAGTGTTCGATGAAGAAATAAACTTCCCATGTTTAAAATTTGCAATATCCATCTTGGTTAAGAGCCATGGATGATAACACAAAAGGCATGTCATGAAGTAGTTTTACCAATTCCTTCTCAAGCAAGAGATAACACTAAATTAATGATTACTAATGCATTCAGAACAGGCCAGGAAGATTACCTAGAAAACTTAAATAGCACAAAACAAATGTTTATGGCATAGTAAAAGTCGAAGACTTACCTGAATAAGAGGAAACTCCAAAACCCACCAACACCTCCAATCACCCAAAACCATCTTCAGATATTGGAATAATTTCTCACAGAAAGCACAAAGCTTCAATCTGTCTATACCCATCACTCTTATCCAAGAATAATATCACTTCGTACAACACAACAAGGGCTTAGAAGAACTTATAGTTTTGCTTGTTAGAAAAACTGAATTCAGCATAAGAAAGTCTTCACGCATCTGGACTTTACACCCGAGGTGAGGAGCAAGTCAAGAATCTATTCCCGAGAAAGGAAATGCAATCCATTCAGCAAAATCTTGTATGTCTTATCATTCATTGAGATGTCTCTATTCCTCCATTCATCAAGTAATTCAAAAGCCTCATTGCCTCTCCCTTCTCGACATAACCCTTCCAATACAGTCTTGTAAGTCAATTGATCAGGGGACCTAGAATTACCCAACATATCAAACACAATCTCAATAGCATCCTCAAACCTCCTCTCCAAAGCAAGACTACAAATGATTATCACATAAGTACTGGTGCTTGGCACCAAACACTTGCCCCTCATCTCCTTAAAAAACCCTAAGCCTTGATTCACCCTCCCTTTCTCACACAGACCTTTCGCAATATAACCATAAGTATAAGCATTAGGCTCACAGCCATATAACCCCATTTCATGGAAAACCCTGATGGCCTCATCAACTTCCAAACACTTTGCATATGCTTTTATAATCATATTCAACACAAAAGTATCAGGAATAACCCCGGAAGCCTTCATCTGCTTGGTCATTGATCTAACAGCATGTAAATACACATAACACACATTCAATTTATTAAACCTCCTGAGAAGTGAATGGAACAACAAGGAGTAAGTTTCAAGTGTGGGCTTACAATCCTCAGACTTCAACATTTTCTTATACACATCAAAAGCACGGTTAAAAAGGAACTTCCGACCACAACAGAATCTAATAATAGAGTTGTATAGAGGAACACTAGCATCACAAGCACCAGCAATTACTTCCTCAACTAGGGTTTCTGTGTGTCGATACCGCCTACCTGAAATGAGTTGCTTAATCATTGTAAGATATGTGACATTGTTGTGCTTATACCCACGTTGCTGGGCAGTCCATCGGAAGATGTCAAGCGCAAGATCAGGGTCAGATTGAGCACGCAAGGCTTCGTCAACATCAAATGGAGTGAACCCAGGTTTGAGCTTTTGTACCCAAGTCTCAAATTGCTTCTCCAATGGTGTTCTAGTACGAGAGCTAGGGTTTGTGAATTGGGGTTGAAGGTTTTGATCTTGGTGGGGTGAGGAGGACATTGAGCGAGCACAGAGGAACGAGAGAGCTAGAGAACAAGAGGGTTGAGTGTGTAGAGGACGAAGGGAAGAAGAAAACGAGAGAATGTAGATGCTTCTGGAAATGGAAAGAAAAAAACATTTCGAAGGTGCAGGCATAGTTTGTTAAAGGAAGCAACAAGATTGGCCAAAGCTGGTAGTTTGCAATGCAGAAATCTACTTTGAACTAATGAAACCGATGGACTGGGAAATCTACAGGAAGGTAGTACTAGAAACTTAAATGCCCTTCCTCACCCCCCATCCAAAATTCTCTGAGAGCATCATTTCCTCTGTCCCTTGAAGCTTCTCCCTCTGTCTATCATCTCCGATTGCATCATTTGTCTGTTATGGAAAAATGTAAATAATAAAAGTTAGTTAAGACTGTTATATTAAAAGCTGTAGGGTAGGTAAGAACAGAAGATTATAAATAGAAGCTCTAAGGACCTATTATAATCAGACTATTGTTGTCGGCGGTTAAGGTGAAGAGTATGCTCAGTTTTTCTCATATCTCTCCGATCCCCTCTCTGAATTCTTCTTTCCATGTTCTCTCTACCTTTCTCATTCTTTCTATTACCTTTTTTGAAAATACCACAACATTGTCCCACGCAGAAAGAAGGAAACTCAAAACTCCATTGGCCAAGCAGGCGGTGATGGAGAATTTTATATGCTATTGTATCCAGATAAAACAGGACATTCTTATTCCTAATGAAGAAAAGAGCCAGCACAATAAGTTTCATCATGAAGTGATTCATGGAAGAATAGGTTGGATGCATGAAGTTCGTACCAAAGGTGATCTTCCATCATAGCCAGTTTTGTTGGGATCATTTAATCCAATGTTTCAAAAGATAGAAATCCCCTCATATGCAGCATAATTAATCTTCGTAGACATTTATCCTCAGTTCATGATAATATGAAAGTGAATAACAAAACGTACAAGTGACCAAAGCCTTTTATGCTCATAACCAAAGCCATCAACTGGATTGATAACATCATAACAAGTAAATGAATATGACATCTTAATTAGCTAAAGCCAGAAGCTCATCACAGAGGTCTTGCTTTCGGCAAAGGTAATTCTTTGTGCTGCATAAGCCAATCAATATGGCAACCGAAGCTTTTTTTTATAACAGCAATCACAGAGGAGCATCTAATACCATATCAGCCAACCACAAACTTAGAACAATGAGTTTTCCAGCACTTTGTCAGAAGGATGCGGAGGGGCATAAAGGAGAAGGCAGAGATTGAAGTGCCATTGACCTCCACATACATTCGGTGATAAATAACACATGCAATTCATGTCCTTCCATGATCTCATAATACATATGCGTTCAGGTTAAGAATCAAATTTGCACATGGTGTTACCCACAAAGCTGCCTTATTACAGAACCAGTATGAGAATAAAATTAAGAAAGAACGAATATACTTATTGCTTATCTGAATAAATTTAACAAATAGGGTGTGTTTGGTTTAACCAAGGGGAGGGGAGGGAAGAGATTTTAATGGAGGTGAGAGAAAGGAAGAGAAGGGGACAGGAGGGATTTTAATGAATGAGAAGGAAGAGGGATTTTAACGTTACCTTGTTTGGTTCAGGAAAGGAGGAGAGGGGAGAGGTTTTGATATGGACAACTTTGCCCTTATTTTATTTTTATACAACAAAATGTTTTAATATGCTTATTAATTTTATTAATTGGTCAAAATTTCAAAAACTTGCTACCATACTCATATATCATAAATTATTTTTATATGCATTTTAAATGATGATTTTATTAATAATATAATATCTCGTTACTTTTAATATGTTTTTAAAAATCTTTTACCTCTCTAAAATATGACAAAATTAGAAAATTAAGTTGGATGAAAAGAGACAAGACCCCAACCGCAACACAAGATCATCCATACATTAGGAAATAATAGTTAAGCCTCCATTTTAGACAATAATGATCAAAACAACGTGGGAAATGGAGTGCCACAAGATTACGAACTCTAAGAAAATTCTCTATTGGTAAGTTGTACATTAAAAATACAAAAATTGTGGGTCACTGAAAGTATAAGTTTTGCAAGAAGTTACATAATCAATGGGCAAACAACCCCCTTCAGAAACCTTAATTGCAAGGAGAATACTATGATATGAACTTCAGAGCCATAGGCCAATCCCTTCAAAGTTAATACTTTAAACAACAAGAATATGATGAGGGTTATAAACTGTGTACATAAGTTTGCATATCAAACTTCCCCAAGGTTGAGAGACAAAAGTCACAAGCAATCAGTTTAATGAAAATGAAGATCACCATAGGACTGGTAATACAAATCAATCAATCTATGTCCCATGTGATCATGAAGTCAAACATGCAGCACCTGAGGCAATTAGATTGGGACCTCAATATTGCTAATAATACAACAGCATCCTTGATTTGAACCTTCAAACATGCCATACAGCTTCACAGTACGGTCTCAAAAATGATTGAGCATAAATATCAAATTAGACAAGGAACAAAGTAGACCAAATAGAAAGCCACAAGATTCCAACGCAAAAACAATCACTTTGGATGGTCCCCCTCGAACAGGGAAGTTGTATTTACCAAAGGCCGTATCTACATAGGCAGAATCAACATTCATCATATATACTATATTGCATTCCTCATGGCGCAGATCTCCGGGTTGGCTCATTATGGAATGAATACTGCTATATGGAACTCAATCAAGGTTGTCTTAAACAAAAAGACATCTCAATTTTCAACTTAGTCTTCTTTCAAGTGCATATCGATATTCCCAACCTATGTATTGCATTTATAAGCTTCAGCTTTTTGGTTTCGTTTAGTCAGACTTCAGCTTCTAATGTATGTAATTACTTCGACGCCTCTTGGTTTATCCTATATTGCAAGTCAGAAAATTTTAAGTTCGACTAACTGCGAGAGAAACTAGAAACAAAGAAGAAACGGGAAATCTGAAGCAAAGAAGAAAAGGAATAAAACCAGATAGTTGAGACATGCATGAGCAAGAACAAGGATGAAGAACATAACAATCGATATGATCTAGGAGAGATACTCACCTGACGACAATGAAGATGGATAGAGGAAGACAGGCGACGGCGGCCGCAGGACCAGGTGGCGTCGACGACAAGCGGAGGAGGAGAGGCGACGGAGCTCACCTAGGTTGAGGTTTTGAGGACGACTAGACCAGGTGCGTACGCGACTATCGAATACGACGGCTCAGGTGGCAGCGGAGGAGCAGTGGCGGCAGCGATGACTGGAGAAACCTAAACGCGTGAAGGAGCGGCCCAGGGTGTTTTTGGGGCGGCCCCGAGGAGTGGGGTAAAATTGGGATCTTCCTCTTTTTTGGTAAGGATGCCTAATTTGTTTAGATCCCCCAACAAACATGTTTGACTCAGCATGGGTCTTAGGTTTTGTTTGGTTCAATGGAGGGGAGGGGATGAGTGGTTAATTAAAAGGAGGGGAGTAGAGGTGAGGAGAAGTTATGAGTACTGTTTGGTTTGAGGGAAAGAAGGGGAGGGAATGTTTCGTGTTTGGTTCAGGAGGGAAAGAGAGGAGAACTAAGTTAACAAATATGTCCTTATTTGTTTAGTTAGATTTCTTTATTATTTTATTATAATATTTATATCAAAATTATTATTTTCTACTTTATGAATATTAAAAAACAAGCTACCCCACATATATAAAATATTTACATATCCATAAAATATATGCATATCATACAAAATATTTTTTTATCATTATCAAATATACATATTATAAAGAATATATACTTTCATATTATATCAAGAAAAATAGAATAATCATGACAAAAATATTATATCATTATTATCAAATATTATTACATAATTTTTGTGGTATAAATATGAATTCTTTAAAAAGTATCAATTTATTTAGAAATAAAACATATATGAATATCATGTGTTCCACTAAACCGAAAAATAAGTTGCATTATTAACATCAAAAAAGCATAAAAAATCATCAAAGTGTTTAGCAGACTAAATATCTTCTAAGTCATTCATGACACCAAAATTACTAAACATTAAAAGTCTCTAAATAATTACCAAATTAAATATTTCATAAGTCAATTTTCTAAGTTATTCATAATTTCCATAACCAAATCCTTCCATCCAACAAAAAGGCATTTAGCAAATGTCTTTAGTAGCCCATCATTACTCATGAGAGCTTTATAGATCTTAGCAATATAGATTGTTGCGACGCCACATTCTTTAATCATATTTCATACTTGTTCGCTTGAAAATTGTGAAAGCTTTCTAACAATATCTCTCATTATTTGATTTCCATCTTTCATAGCTTGTGCAACTTTAGACATAACATCTTTTATCCTATCTAACTCAGAGTCTTTTTCTCTATTTGAATTCCCTTTTTGCTTCTTTTTAGATGAACCACTTGTAACTCCAATTGAGGTATCTTGATTGATACTATTATCAAATGCTTCAAAATGCTCTATGTTGACATTATGTTGGGAAGCAATATTATCAATGTTGCTGAATGTATCAATAAAATCATCCTCATTGATTGAGTGACATCTTTTTCGCATTTCACCTGTAATATGAGTTCCCTCCCCTGATGCTCTGTCATTTCCATAAGTTGTCTCTTTCGCATTTCATATGTTGACATTATGTTGGGAAAAGGAATATATCTCCAATTTGCAGCTTTAGGCTTTGACTACAAAGGATAAAATTCAACCAGTAGTTAATATTAATGAATAAATTATAGACTTAGATGTTAATTAGAGTGCTCCACAACAAATGTTAAAGTAAACTAACCTTAATAAGTTTATCTCAAACTTGATCTTCTACCTCCCATAATTGGGTTGATGAGTTCTAAGCGAACCCACTTAATCTATTTTTAAAAATATCATAAATTTCAGAGAATTTTTTTTTAATGTTTTCCACCTATTCTTAATCTTCTCTTTGTCTAATTCAATATTAAGCAAAGCACTCATCTCTTTCACAATATTCTCATACGCAATGGTTGTGAAAGTGCCATTTACTTTGTTGCCACAATTATACTATTCCATGAAAGCATCAACAAGGTAGTCATCCATAGCTCTTGTCCAATTCAAACATTACTTATTGTTGTTTGATTTTTTTGGCATTCTATTACAAAAGCAACAAAACAATACGAGAAATATAAGTTATTATAATTCATAAAACTTAAAAGCAACAAGTCTAAAACTCTAAATACGATATATATATATAAATAAATGTGTAACTTTAAAACTACTACAATACAAGCAGCAAGTTCGTTAAAGCATACTTAAAAAACATTAAATATAAAACTTTAAATAAACTAAAAATAGCAAGTTTGTCAAAGCACAAACTTTAAATTGATTAGGGTACATAGCCACCACGTCTCATCAGCCTATTTTGATAATCAATCCACATCTCATTTGCTATAGTATCTCTAATCAGCTGTCCTTGGACAGCCTCATCATTGTCACCATGTCGTTCATGATTATTATTATCAGACTCTAATTGAGTTGCAAGTTCACGATCTATTTCTTAGATAAAAGTCAAATAGTATAATGTGATTTATATTTAGATTGACTTTTATAAAAAAATCAGTTTGAAAAACTGAGACTTGTTGGATAATTAATAGAAAAATAAGTTTAAATATAAAATAAGTAAAAGAGACATGAATATTATTGAATAATAATGTGATAATTTTAAAAAAAATATTAAAATTATAATGGTAAAGGTGTATTTTTAGTCCTAATCTTATTTTTAGGTGCACCAATATTTTTATATTTTTAGTGTTGTAATTTTACTCATGATCATTTTTTTTTGTATATAATTTTACCTATGAAATTTTTGTAATGCAATTTCAACTTAATCTTCTTTAAAGTGCATATCGATATTCCCAACCTATGTAATTATATACAAAAATTGCATTACAAAAATTTCATAGGTAAAATTATATACAAAAAAAAATGATCATGAGTAAAATTACAACACTAAAAATATAAAAATATTGGTGCACCTAAAAATAAGATTAGGACTAAAAATACACCTTTACCATTATAATTTTAATATTTTTTTTAAAATTATCACATTATTATTCAATAATATTCATGTCTCTTTTACTTATTTTATATTTAAACTTATTTTTCTATTAATTATCCAACAAGTCTCAGTTTTTCAAACTGATTTTTTTATAAAAGTCAATCTAAATATAAATCACATTATACTATTTGACTTTTATCTAAGAAATAGATCGTGAACTTGCAACTCAATTAGAGTCTGATAATAATAATCATGAACGACATGGTGACAATGATGAGGCTGTCCAAGGACAGCTGATTAGAGATACTATAGCAAATGAGATGTGGATTGATTATCAAAATAGGCTGATGAGACGTGGTGGCTATGTACCCTAATCAATTTAAAGTTTGTGCTTTGACAAACTTGCTATTTTTAGTTTATTTAAAGTTTTATATTTAATGTTTTTTAAGTATGCTTTAACGAACTTGCTGCTTGTATTGTAGTAGTTTTAAAGTTACACATTTATTTATATATATATATCGTATTTAGAGTTTTAGACTTGTTGCTTTTAAGTTTTATGAATTATAATAACTTATATTTCTCGTATTGTTTTGTTGCTTTTGTAATAGAATGCCAAAAAAATCAAACAACAATAAGTAATGTTTGAATTGGACAAGAGCTATGGATGACTACCTTGTTGATGCTTTCATGGAATAGTATAATTGTGGCAACAAAGTAAATGGCACTTTCACAACCATTGCGTATGAGAATATTGTGAAAGAGATGAGTGCTTTGCTTAATATTGAATTAGACAAAGAGAAGATTAAGAATAGGTGGAAAACATTAAAAAAAAATTCTCTGAAATTTATGATATTTTTAAAAATAGATTAAGTGGGTTCGCTTAGAACTCATCAACCCAATTATGGGAGGTAGAAGATCAAGTTTGAGATAAACTTATTAAGGTTAGTTTACTTTAACATTTGTTGTGGAGCACTCTAATTAACATCTAAGTCTATAATTTATTCATTAATATTAACTACTGGTTGAATTTTATCCTTTGTAGTCAAAGCCTAAAGCTGCAAATTGGAGATATATTCCTTTTCCCAACATAATGTCAACATATGAAATGCGAAAGAGACAACTTATGGAAATGACAGAGCATCAGGGGAGGGAACTCATATTACAGGTGAAATGCGAAAAAGATGTCACTCAATCAATGAGGATGATTTTATTGATACATTCAGCAACATTGATAATATTGCTTCCCAACATAATGTCAACATAGAGCATTTTGAAGCATTTGATAATAGTATCAATCAAGATACCTCAATTGGAGTTACAAGTGGTTCATCTAAAAAGAAGCAAAAAGGGAATTCAAATAGAGAAAAAGACTCTGAGTTAGATAGGATAAAAGATGTTATGTCTAAAGTTGCACAAGCTATGAAAGATGGAAATCAAATAATGAGAGATATTGTTAGAAAGCTTTCACAATTTTCAAGCGAACAAGTATGAAATATGATTAAAGAATGTGGCGTCGCAACAATCTATATTGCTAAGATCTATAAAGCTCTCATGAGTAATGATGGGCTACTAAAGACATTTGCTAAATGCCTTTTTGTTGGATGGAAGGATTTGGTTATGGAAATTATGAATAACTTAGAAAATTGACTTATGAAATATTTAATTTGGTAATTATTTAGAGACTTTTAATGTTTAGTAATTTTGGTGTCATGAATGACTTAGAAGATATTTAGTCTGCTAAACACTTTGATGATTTTTTATGCTTTTTTTGATGTTAATAATGCAACTTATTTTTCGGTTTAGTGGAACACATGATATTCATATATGTTTTATTTCTAAATAAATTGATACTTTTTAAAGAATTCATATTTATACCACAAAAATTATGTAATAATATTTGATAATAATGATATAATATTTTTGTCATGATTATTCTATTTTTCTTGATATAATATGAAAGTATATATTCTTTATAATATGTATATTTGATAATGATAAAAAAATATTTTGTATGATATGCATATATTTTATGGATATGTAAATATTTTATATATGTGGGGTAGCTTGTTTTTTAATATTCATAAAGTAGAAAATAATAATTTTGATATAAATATTATAATAAAATAATAAAGAAATCTAACTAAACAAATAAGGACATATTTGTTAACTTAGTTCTCCTCTCTTTCCCTCCTGAACCAAACATGAAACATTCCCTCCCCTTCTTTCCCTCAAACCAAACAGTACTCATAACTTCTCCTCACCTCTACTCCCCTCCTTTTAATTAACCACTCATCCCCTCCCCTCCATTGAACCAAACAAAACCTAAGACCCATGCTGAGTCAAACATGTTTGTTGGGGGATCTAAACAAATTAGGCATCCTTACCAAAAAGAGGAAGATCCCAATTTTACCCCACTCCTCGGGGCCGCCCCAAAAACACCCTGGGCCGCTCCTTCACGCGTTTAGGTTTCTCCAGTCATCGCTGCCGCCACTGCTCCTCCGCTGCCACCTGAGCCGTCGTATTCGATAGTCGCGTACGCACCTGGTCTAGTCGTCCTCAAAACCTCAACCTAGGTGAGCTCCGTCGCCTCTCCTCCTCCGCTTGTCGTCGACGCCACCTGGTCCTGCGGCCGCCGTCGCCTGTCTTCCTCTATCCATCTTCATTGTCGTCAGGTGAGTATCTCTCCTAGATCATATCGATTGTTATGTTCTTCATCCTTGTTCTTGCTCATGCATGTCTCAACTATCTGGTTTTATTCCTTTTCTTCTTTGCTTCAGATTTCCCGTTTCTTCTTTGTTTCTAGTTTCTCTCGCAGTTAGTCGAACTTAAAATTTTCTGACTTGCAATATAGGATAAACCAAGAGGCGTCGAAGTAATTACATACATTAGAAGCTGAAGTCTGACTAAACGAAACCAAAAAGCTGAAGCTTATAAATGCAATACATAGGTTGGGAATATCGATATGCACTTGAAAGAAGACTAAGTTGAAAATTGAGATGTCTTTTTGTTTAAGACAACCTTGATTGAGTTCCATATAGCAGTATTCATTCCATAATGAGCCAACCCGGAGATCTGCGCCATGAGGAATGCAATATAGTATATATGATGAATGTTGATTCTGCCTATGTAGATACGGCCTTTGGTAAATACAACTTCCCTGTTCGAGGGGGACCATCCAAAGTGATTGTTTTTGCGTTGGAATCTTGTGGCTTTCTATTTGGTCTACTTTGTTCCTTGTCTAATTTGATATTTATGCTCAATCATTTTTGAGACCGTACTGTGAAGCTGTATGGCATGTTTGAAGGTTCAAATCAAGGATGCTGTTGTATTATTAGCAATATTGAGGTCCCAATCTAATTGCCTCAGGTGCTGCATGTTTGACTTCATGATCACATGGGACATAGATTGATTGATTTGTATTACCAGTCCTATGGTGATCTTCATTTTCATTAAACTGATTGCTTGTGACTTTTGTCTCTCAACCTTGGGGAAGTTTGATATGCAAACTTATGTACACAGTTTATAACCCTCATCATATTCTTGTTGTTTAAAGTATTAACTTTGAAGGGATTGGCCTATGGCTCTGAAGTTCATATCATAGCATTCTCCTTGCAATTAAGGTTTCTGAAGGGGGTTGTTTGCCCATTGATTATGTAACTTCTTGCAAAACTTATACTTTCAGTGACCCACAATTTTTGTATTTTTAATGTACAACTTACCAATAGAGAATTTTCTTAGAGTTCGTAATCTTGTGGCACTCCATTTCCCACGTTGTTTTGATCATTATTGTCTAAAATGGAGGCTTAACTATTATTTCCTAATGTATGGATGATCTTGTGTTGCGGTTGGGGTCTTGTCTCTTTTCATCCAACTTAATTTTCTAATTTTGTCATATTTTAGAGAGGTAAAAGATTTTTAAAAACATATTAAAAGTAACGAGATATTATATTATTAATAAAATCATCATTTAAAATGCATATAAAAATAATTTATGATATATGAGTATGGTAGCAAGTTTTTGAAATTTTGACCAATTAATAAAATTAATAAGCATATTAAAACATTTTGTTGTATAAAAATAAAATAAGGGCAAAGTTGTCCATATCAAAACCTCTCCCCTCTCCTCCTTTCCTGAACCAAACAAGGTAAAAAACCCCTCTTCCTTCTCATTCATTAAAACCCCTCCTGTCCCCTTCTCTTCCTTTCTCTCACCTCCATTAAAATCTCTTCCCTCCCCTCCCCTTGGTTAAACCAAACACACCCTATTTGTTAAATTTATTCAGATAAGCAATAAGTATATTCGTTCTTTCTTAATTTTATTCTCATACTGGTTCTGTAATAAGGCAGCTGTGTGGGTAACACCATGCGCAAATTTGATTCTTAACCTGAACGCATATGTATTATGAGATCATGGAAGGACATGAATTGCATGTGTTATTTATCACCGAATGTATGTGGAGGTCAATGGCACTTCAATCTCTGCCTTCTCCTTTATGCCCCTCCGCATCCTTCTGACAAAGTGCTGGAAAACTCATTGTTCTAAGTTTGTGGTTTGCTGATATGATATTAGATGCTCCTCTGTGATTGCTGTTATAAAAAAAAGCATTGGTTGCCATATTGATTGGCTTATGCAGCACAAAGAATTACCTTTGCCGAAAGCAAGACCTCTGTGATGAGCTTCTGGCTTTAGCTAATTAAGATGTCATATTCATTTACTTGTTATGAAGGGTATACTTGGAAACATACTTGGAAGTGTTGGGTGCATCTTAACCCTAAAATTAATGATAACCCCATGTCCCCAGCCTAAGAAAACACAACACAATCACAACACAATCGAGCAAGTGGGGATCCGTTTTTCTTCGTCAGTGAACCAGCATTCCACACTTGCTCTAGCTCCCTGATGAATACCGGCCACCGTTGCCAGCCCTGCGTTATTGTTCTCGACCAAAAATTGAAGGTTCAAACTCTGGGGCTTTGTCTACTCCTAAAATCCAGTGAGATTGATTTGCTCAATCTGGCTTTGAATGTCGATTTGAACTTGTTCCTCACGTCATCTGTTCCCTGCGTGGTTGTCAACCCTGTGTCGGACGCCGTCGCATCTTTTCTTATGTTTTTTTAAAAATTTTTCATTTTAATTTGTCTGAGTTTGGTCGTGTGATCTTTTGAATATTGATGCTTTTGAATAAGGACTGGGCTTACTTTTTTCCCTAACTTTGATTTTGAGCTTTTGCTTCCTTGGTATGTAATCGGCTATTATCGTTCTCTCCTCTTCATTTTGATTATTGCTGACTTCTGTGCTTTGTACTGTTTTGTTGTGCAATGTTGGATTTGTTGTGTATTTGCATTCTGTTTATTAATCTCTTTATATGATCATCAGTTTATAAATTCTCAAGGCATTCGTGATGCATGATCTGGTAAATGACTTGGCCTAAGCTGTATCTAACAATTTAGAAGGTTTTGAGTTTAAATTGTCATTCTTAAGTGGCTTGGAGGAGTTGCCTGAATCAATTGGCTTACTAAGGCATCTTTGTCAAAGTATCTAGAACAAAATTTAAGGGGTTATTGTATCAATTATGTATACTTCAAAGATTTCAGTTGGTATGGTTCTGCTATGATTTCCACAAATGTAGAACTATTTACCTGACATTGGTTTGGTGAACTGTTTTTGAGGAATTTGAATGGATATGACATTTAATTGGTCTGCTGTGTTAATCTAAAAGGCCTTGCCAAGTTTTGCCTATTTACTTGGTGTGAAGCTTTGGTTAACTGTCCTTAAACAATTTGAATGAAAATGTCCTTTAGCTGGTCTATTGTGTTAATGTTATTATCATCTTGCCAAGTTTCATCTGCTTGCTTAGTGTGAGGGTATTGTGTAAATGTCTGAAGTTTCTTACTTGTGAATGGGGTTGTATGATCTTTTGTGCATTGCAAATTATCAAATACTCTGAAACATATATTTAATCCTTTGAGGCCTACACAACCTGTGTAAGTTTAAGCTTGATGGAGAGTTGAAGACTTTGTTGGATAACTAGTACAAGTAAAGAGAGCACTAAAATGATGTTTGGGAAAAAACACAAAAGAAGGGAAAAAAGCCTCCTATCCTTATCCAGAGATGGGAGCTTCTCGTTATTAAACAGTTCTAAATGTTAATTATCATTCGTCATTTTTCATTTGATGTAGGGCAATATTTGTAATAGAGGAAGGAGAGAGTGAGAAGGAGGAGGAGGGAGATGTAGAACAAATGAGGGGGGGGGGAGAAGGAATAAGAAGAGGAAAGTTGTAGAGCATTCAAAAATACATTATTGCCAAATCAAAGATTCTCTTTATTGTGCCCCTGCTTCTAAGGGCTTTATATAAAGCCCAAGAGATGACACCTAATAAATTTTAAAAATATAATACTAAATCGCAATCCTATCAATGGAATAACTATTAAAGCCTAAAAAAATGATAATTCATTTGATGAGTAATGCTATTTAAGATTTAAAAAAACAACAAGTAAATAACATCAACTCTTGTGTAACAAGTAATTAATATCAACTCTTGATTATTCTTCTCTTTCTCCACACACATTATCTTTAGCATTTCTCTTGCTCTTGTTGATTTATCATTTGTATGCATATTTTTTTTATTTTAAGGGTAAAATAAGAAGTAGATGCCACTTTGTGTCTCAAGATTGCAAAGCTTTATGCTTTTATTATTTCTGTATATTAATTAAAAATTTCAATACAGTTTGTTGCCATGATTGTTTATTTTTGAAAACTAATTTTCAATGCTTTTTCAGAGATTTTATAGAAAATACACGAATGGAGTCATCCCAGAGTACTGTAACTACAGGAGTGAATGGTGGAAGTGGTGGCAATGGGATGTTGATCCCTCAAACAAATGATACATCGTCTCCTGCATCAGCTGCTGATGATTCTATGCAGAAGCTAAACCAGGTTATCAACTCCATTCAAAAGACCTTGGGCCTCATTCATCAGCTTTACCTAACTGTCTCTACCTATAATCCTGCCTTTCAAATGGCTCTCCTCCAACGCATGTACTGATCTACGAATTTTTTCCTTCTAATGCCATTTATCTTACTTTACTTATTTGACTACGGTTGAAAGAAGTTGTATTGATCATATTTTACTTCAATTTCAAGCAATGGTCTTGTTCTGGAACTTGACAATATGATCAAATTGGCCGAAAAGTGCAATATTCAGGTTCCTATGGAGGTTGTCAAGTGAGTTCTTTGCCTTTTAGTGTTCTCTCTTAGTTTATTTACATACTACTCTGAGGTTTCTATGATTCAACCTTGTTTATTACTTTGCTGCTGGATATAGTTTAATTGATGATGGCAAGAATCCGGATGAATTTACAAAGGATGTAATAATGAACTGCGTTGGGAAAAATCAAATCACCAAAGGAAAATCAGATGCTTTGAAGGTTGAATCTAATTCCTAATATCTATGGATTTAGATATCTTTCATTTTATATTTCATGCCCTCATATATAAGTTTATTTAGTCCAACTTAGATTTTGTGTTGGGAGCAGGGTTTACGCAAGCATCTTCTGGA